GAGAGAGAGAGAGAGAGAGAGAGAGAGAGAGAGAGAGAGAGAGAGAGAGAGAGAGAGAGAGAGAGAGAGAGAGGTTGACACGGGAAGTGCAGTTGTATGTGCTGCGCAGCACGAATAGGGGGTAAGCAACATTGCCAGGCAGGTGGATGCCGAAAGCCAAAGGCAGAAGACCGAAACTATGTAGATAATTTCAGGGAGACGCGACAGGAGGAGAGGGAGGAATGGCAAAGAGGGGATGGAGAGAAACTGGAGTACTTGCGTCCTTCTCAAAGTGAAAAGAGGGAGGAATAAGAGCTCAAGGAGCTCAGAGATAGAAGCCAAAATCAAGATCGCTAAAGAAGAGTGTTTGAGAATGACAAAGTGGGAAGGGGGCGAGGAACGGGGGAATAAATGGCTTTTTATTCCCTGAACTGAAAGATACAGACCACGCTAGGTGTCCACCTACCGGTAGCATCAGGGAGTGAGCAGGGCAATCATCGGTATGAAGATGAATCTGTTGGAGCAATGTTCAAACTGCGAATCCTTCCGCATGTGCATCAGCGCGACTGCCTTGCCGGCTTGATTGTGCAAAGGGATGTGAGATAGACCATCCGAGGCAGTCCACTTCGCGTCCGGAAATGAGCAGCGAAATCAATCGCCATAAAAAGCATCTGGCGGATAAACGTTCCAGGCGGAAATCCCTCCACGTGTGCATTCATGCGTCAATGCGACTGCCTGGCTGGCTTGTTTGTGAAAAGAGATGTTGCCGTCTAAATCAGGTAATGATGGGAACATAGGAGTGACAATCACTCTGGCTTTGGTTTTGCCTCAGCAAGCAGGGGAGCAGTCGTGGAGATATACAAATGTGAAAGAGTCGTGGAGAAGCAGAGCCGTTTGAGGCTGGCGCACAGTGACTGAAACAGTTTGGCATGTACGGAAATGTTAGAGAATGTCAGAAGATGCAATGTCAGAATGTACAGAGCAACAGACTTCCGAGGGGATATGGTTCGGCGGGCCCCGGCGGATATGGCTCAGCGGGCCTTGTCGGTTGTCGCTACTTTGTTACAGATCAGTGATCACCGCTTTTCTTTGCAGATTATGGCTTTGTGCCGAAATCCGTAATCTGGTTGTGTGCTGGCGTACGGCACCTGGTATTGAATCAATCAATAAAACATAGCGACGTCCGCAATTCATGCAGAGTGTTTTTGGG